CGTTGCTTTACTACAGATCACTACCAAATCATTCCTCAGGTTTGTAAGCAACCAATAAAGCATTGCCTTGCCGTTCCGGAGCCATGGAAATGCCGGGTTATCTGTGAGAAGCCCTGTATGCCCAAATGTAAGTCATCTCCATCTAACCCCCCTATCATATTCACTGATTTACCCTTCTTTTTCCTCCCTCCCCTAGGTTGCCCCATAAAAAAGTGCTGCAACTAAGGCTATTCTCACCGTCATCCTCTCACTCCAAGTCCCCAGCCCACTCACGTTGGTATTTGTTTGGACCAAAAATGATCTTATAAACAGCAAATAAATCGTCGCTCTGTATCACAGGAAACTTGTGACTCTTGCCCCACTGATTGGTTTGGGTGTGTAATGACCTTGGCCCTAGGGGATTGGTTAGGGAGGAGGGGAGAAGGTGTGTCGATTGGCTAGATGGGAGTGCGTCAAGGTTACCTGGATGTAAGATCTTTCACCGGTTATATAAATAGTTTTACCTGCTTCCTAAAGAGCAGTTTCAAGTTTTTTGCGTCTCCAACTGAAATAGAAAGTAGAAAATGCCTTGCAAGTGTTTTAGGGGATATGAGTACAGGGTGGAGAAGAAATTGGTGAAAAAACCAGTTCAGTATTGTTACGAAATTCCAGATCCTATTGTCTGCTGTTACGTATGTTGCGACCCCTGTCAGTCGTGCTGTGGTAAGTGGAAGCCCCTGTGCCTACTTAATCCACTTTCTTGTTTACAGTTGATAGCTGTTGCTGCCCGTGCCCATGCGCATACTCCTGTGGTGGATGTTGTCCCTAGGATGGTGGTTACGGAGTTAGCAAATTCCTCTGTCGACGACAATTGTAGTGGTGTTAATAGCGCAAAGAATAGACACTTCTGTCCCACTTTTCTTCATTGCGTATATTTTTCGCTATTGACTTCTACCTTTCGTGTATATTTTTCATTGATTGTTGCTGTTAATACAATCTCCCCATGCACCCTCTATTGGTGATCCTTTGACCACCAATGGTGCACAAAAAAAAAACAAAAATAGTCATATAATAAAACTCTTTCCCATTTTATGTTGTTTATTTTGCTGAAACAAGTCCCAAAGTTTGTTTGGTGATGATTTACCCAAATTTTGCGGCAAATTTTTTAATGCCTATTGATACTTACGTTTGGTTTAAACTGTTTAATATAAAAAAGTTGGTTTTTAGCTAGCACTCAGCCAATTTTTCACCCTCCTGTAAATTACGCTCGTTTTGTAGTAAGGAAAAATCAAATAAAGGAAGCGCTGAAATTTAGGGATTTCTAGGAACTAATAATAAATCAGCCATCTATTTCTTATAAATACTAGAAAATTTAAGCGTAAAATTATTGTTAACAAAAACAAGTAAAAAGTTGAGTAATTTAGAACGCACTATAATAATTGACTGCTGTTTTACTACGTAGACAGTAATGCAATCAATATATGTGCCAATTATTAACTCCGTCCTTTGAACACCATTTTGATTGGTCCCAGGTGCCGCACTCAAGGTTATCCCATCAGTGGTTAGAAGAGCCGACTGCGAGTTGTACAGACGTACCGCAAAAAATTGTCGAATTATATTTAAAAAATTGTACCATAAAGATGGTTTTTGAGTGACCTTAATCACAGTCAAGAAGAGCTGCCGATAACTCGCAGGAATGACCGCCAAATTTTTCGTTAGTTAGACCAATAGTCATTTTATTGGGCAGTGAGGTAGTAATAAACACCCAGTCCTTGTATTTTTCGTTGAGTCTGTGCGGTTTTTTTTCCCACATAAGTTTGCATGACGGAGGGCCTTAATTCCCTTATTTTACCGTTTCTCATTATTGACAATCCTACAGATTTGTTTTTATCGCCTGAAATGGCATTAGCCTCTGCGTCAATGTCATTCAAAGTGGATGTGTGATGCATTAAATTATTTATCCTACAAAATCTTATCTCTTTATATTTGATTCGCATGTGGTGTTGTGCAAATTTGTAATAAAAATTCAATTGTTCCCGGGGTGTAAAATTATTATCACCTAAAAGTTTAGAGTAGCTACTTACGACAAGTTTTTTTGCACCCCTAAACAACTAAATCAGTCAAATGTTGGCTGATGTTATTCGTATTACCCCTTCTAACATGAATTGTTTCTAGCTATGCTTATTTTCTGAGATAAAAGTATGCTAAGAGTGATAGCCAACACCAATCTAAAGAGCAATACTTTCATCCTAACTCAATTTACCTGTTTCTTTACTGACTTTTTTTAATGCCAACTGCATACTTTGCATTCACATGACCCCATAGGATCGACAGTCTGATCAGCAAAATTAAATTGCCGTTAATGACAAGCGGCATTTAATGATGCCTACTTCAAAGCCATTTGGAGAGCACTTACTTGGGTACTGCCTAACTCCCCCCCTCACCCGCTAATCGCCCTCACTGTCTTAATGACTGTCGTGATTTCATGCAAAAAAAGGGCAGAAAAAAAGAGAAGAGTTTTAGTTGACATCGCCGAGATTCACAAGACAGCCAAACATGCATAATCCTATCGATTTATCGATTTATTGGCTGCGCCGCAGCACGAATGCAACGACTGCCAGCTGATGGGTTACCTGCTCAGGTGGTAAAAATCGATGATTTTTAGCGGCAATTCAATCACGTAACGAAATGCAAATTTTCTCCTTTAGTTGGAAGATATATTTTGCTAATAATTAGTATTAATTTATTATAATCCAAAGGTCTAATGAGATGGCTTTTTTTGTCTTGGAAAAAAGCACACTTTAGTCGACGGCGGTTGAGACGTCAAGCTCATCAACTCCTCGCCTTTAATGAAGGGCTTTGACTCTGCAGCCCAGTTTAACTTAATTTATACCACGTAATGATGTAACTTTATTACATATGCATGGTATTATGATGGCAGTACTTGGTCCCCTTAGCCAAGACAATAAAATGTCTCATTTGACAATGCTCTCCCAAGTTTTGACGCCGTGCTAGTTAGTGATGTAATTAGATTGGCAAACGACGTAAAAAATGAAAAAGTGAAGTTTTAGCATAGGGAATAGGACAATTTTCCTTCTCTTTAGAAAAAAAAACAATTGTGACAACTTTTTATATAAAAACAACGCTAGAATCTAGCATCAGTGGTGAAAATACAGCCACATGCCCCCTCCAGTTAGTGCACAAATATGTTAGAAGGAGGTGAGATTTAAAATGCAGTAGAAGAGATCATTAGGGCTATATAAATGCTCAGAAAAGCTTCTAGAAGTTCCACCGACTTGTCCATCCTTTCATCTATTCGACTCTCTTGTCCATCTGCACTACACAGTTGATCTTTGTTTCCCTTCTGTTTAGTAACCAGGTCGATAATCTAATTTGTATCCATCCATCCTTTAGTTCACTGCTCCATCCACTCATTCATCCCTCCATCCACTTAATCATCATTCTATTTATCCACTCATCTGCCAACCCATCCCGCATCCATTCATCTGTTCCTTCATTTGCTTATCCATCCACGATCCACCAAATCATCTATTCATCCATCCTGGAACCATCCCTTCCTCCACCAATCCATCCATCCTGGATCCGCTTACCCTTCCAATTGCCAATCCATCCACCCATCCATTTGTCCATCTATTTATCTCCTCCCACCTGTCTATCGTCTATTTGTTACCTTTCTATAGTACGTTTATCATCCGTTTTTCACTTTATTCAGTTTGTATAAATGTTTTTATTTTACCATTTACTTAAGTAAGTTTTTGAGTGCTTTTTACATTCAAGTCAGGAGTAAGATATCCCTTGCAATGAAAATAATGAAGTTATCCTACTGAATCAATGATGTCACTCCTCTAGTGGCATGGACTTCCATTGAAGTGACCATCGGTGGCACAATTCTGTTCTTCAAAAATTTACCTCAAAAGCATTTCCAAATGATAAAACAATTTACAGTTTATTTGTAAAAGTAACGCGGCAAAGGTAATGCAAATGAACCTAATGGTGACGTTTATTTCTTGGCATGTTTTTTAGAAGAAGCAAATTATATCATTCATAACTTGGAAATGAACAGCTTAGATAGGAAGGTTAAGAAAAAAAGAAAACTGCTCAAGAATTTTGCAACTTATTTCCCAGAAAAATGTTAATGCTTTAAGATTTTAGCACGTTTTTCCCAGGTAGGTAACATGAATCTCCTTCAATTTCATCCTCAAAACTAATCTTTTAAATATTCGATTTAATGAAATCGAAGTAAAAAAGCGGGTCTTGAGCAGTAGGTCTGCCAATTAGAAACGTTTTGCGGCAAGGCAGACTCCGCGTATTTTTTTCTAGTATTACAGCCCTACCACATCGTTAATTAGCTTAATAGACATTCACGAGGCACCGAACCTGTTTAATTCAGCCCTAACAATTATTCGATTGCAGCGCAGTAAACCCAAGCAACAGAAATAGCCAAATTTTCCTCCTTTCTTGATCATCTGCAAGTAAGGTCTTACGAAGAGAGAAAACTTCAACAGGCCCTCAAATCTCATTATTCATTAATTCCCATTTTAAGACTAACAGTAAGTAACACGGTAAGAATGTTTGCAAGGAAAGTGCTAGCAATAAACTCCAAGGCAAAAGCATACACGTAGTTAATGGCTTTAAGTTCCCCGGTTGAGTTTAACCTCCAGATGGTGTTAAGACATTGCAAAACACTAAAAACTCGAACCCAGATTACACTGCATAGACCATCATTTTGGCCATCTTCATCATTGTTTTATGATCTAAACGCTTATTACACAACTAGGGCAGACTTTTTTCCCCTTTTTGACGACATACTTATATTTTACCAACATATCAAACTAACTACGCCGTTTGTTTGCCTATGACCTATAAATAAGATAAATTATGTCAGCAAAAAACTCAAACTGCCAAAAACGAAAACAACTCAAAATAAAAAGACATATGAACAAATTTAAACATTTTATTTACTATAGATAGAAGTAAAGGACATTTTGTTCATTGGTGATTTAAGACCTGCAACTTCTCTCATCACAAGATCGGCGAGAGCGCTTGCAAGAACGAGCTGCAAAAAAAAATGAGAAATTAAAAGCCTAAAATAATGTTGCACGTACGCTGACGTTTAACTCGACAAAGACATTCCGTGGAAGGACTAGATGGACTTCCGTTCTTCACATGGAAATATTCGTAGTGTTCCGAAGCAGGGCTCTCAGTGTACTGGTAGTAAGTCAAAGACTTAGGATAGGGGCCAAGATCTTTTGACATTGTAGTAGAAAGTGAGTTGCTGTGACGAGATTGACATTTTGACGTTATTTATATAGCCCAACATAAATCCCTAATCGATGTAACTTGCCAAATTGGCCAGGGTCGTAACCATTAGAGCAGGAGATTCAAACAAGAAAATTCCCAAAACTAGTAAATGTACTTTTTTTATGAAAGTGCATTAACGTTAGAAATTTATAATTGCAATATATATAAACCTTTTGATACTAAAGTTCAATAGGCAAAAACCCATCCACATTATCATGTAATGCCTAATACTTTAGGTCCTGCAAGAGTTGCAGAAATCTTTTAAAATTGGGTTTAGAAGCAATAAAAAAATAATATTTTAAGGCTTTTATTGCACCTTTTACAACTGCGAGAACCCTAGTTAGCATCAAAATAACTAAATCACTCATTCCTTACCAATATACCAAAAACCATTGACTTTTAACCTATTCAACTCCATGTTGACGAACCTTATACATGTTATGCGCACATAGGGATTTTTCAGACCATCTTGTGGTGAATAAACATGATTGACTCTGCATAGCTGCGTTTAGTCTGGTATCAGTGGTCCTTCCTCTGGAAAAGGCTGTTTAATGTAATAAAGCTTGCCTTTTTCCTATTTTATTTCATTCAAATTTTGCCATAGTATACATGTGTCATCAGTCAAATTATTCTACAGTCCAAATAAGTCATCGTTTTTGGTCTATTTTAGATGTCATACAAAAGACTGGAAAAGTATGCAAATAAGCAACTACTTTAAAAAGTGTCTTTGATGATTTTATCCTAAATATGTTTTCTAAACAAATTTGTTTTGTCTTATTAAGTATTGACATAAGGATGCGAATAGAGGCCAGTCTTTTTAAAAAAAGGTAGAGAGTCTGGTTTACCGATGGTCTCCGGTAGCATTGCAGTTGAACCGATTGGCCGCTTTCTGAAGATGCCAAATTATCGCTTTGTAAGTGAAGGAATAAATAGGAGAATAAGGCACCCAATGGCATTTTACTGCATAAAATCACCTCAAGAAGTGGATTTTATGGGGGCGATAATGTTAGCATTACCTAAGCGATTCCTTGATTCACTCAATTAGTTAATTATTTTACGGTGGCTTCAATTTCTCGTCCACAATCCAGGAGCAGGCCTGCGCCATAAAATTGTGAAGGTGCGTTTAAAACAAGGGCATTGCAAAACCAAAGTAATTTCAGTTAACTGCAAATATTCCAAGAAATAAACTTACTCATACAAAATTTCACATTTTTATTTGGCACCTTCACCTCTAATAAATAGAATTGTGGAGAGATATTTAGAAATCACGTCAATCAGCGTCATTCTCACTCTCTTTTTTGCCGAAATTCACTTAAATTTGAGCTGATTTAGCTTTACCTCTTACAACACCGTGACTGGTAATCCATTCAACTATGTGACTGCAGTCTGAGAGCCTGGCAGTTGCCACCGTCCACTTCTGAATACACCAGCTTGTACGCGTGCTGATGGTAGTTTCGAGTCTAGCTGAAACCTAATTCGCCTATTGTATTTCCATTTAGAGCTTGACAACGCTCTCTGGTGTCTCGGACTGCGTCTTACTAAGTAATTCCTGTAGTAGCATACCGTTACAGTTTTAAAAGTTCCCATTTCAGGCGCCAGAAGACATTCTGCAGGTTTACTAATTATTTCATCTTTATTGTTTAATTCGGCTTTTTTGTGAATTGTTTATACCTGCCGCCTATAATTCGTTTTAATTTAAGAGGTCAAAACTCCAAGCTTCGCCTACGACCCAAAGGTGGAAATTTTCACTCGACAGAGAATTCGGTTCCACCTTTCACCTGCTCACTTTACCTGGGTACAGGGTAACAGAACCTCATAAGAGGTGGCCTCATTCCTTTCGTGTATCTGGGTAAGGAGCGCTCCCACCGTCTCTCTTCTACCGTCTATGAGATTACACCCAATCATGCTAAGGGCCCGATCACTAATTCGTTTTAGCAGCTAGCGCCTAATTACACTCTATTCCACCTCGTAACTGATCAGCAGTTTTTTTGAGTTTTTATTCTTGTGCGAATAAAGGGCCCGCAAAACAATCCTCCCCCACTTTAATGGGCAAAAGTTGAGAGGTATCCGAAAGAAGGAAACCAAAATCGGCTGTTTTATTCAGCTACTAGAAGGTAACAGTAACATCAGGTGCAGAGATGAAGAGATATGTCCTGTTTCTTCTTCTTTTTCTGTTCTTCTTATGTTGTGAGAGCTCTAGCAACAGCAGTTGCAGTCGCAGCCTAGAGGAAGTGGGAAAGGAGAGAGAGAGAGAGGGAGAGTTAGGCGTTGTTAATTGGGGGAATGGAACAGATAGACTTACATGGTGACTTACAGCTGCAGCAGCAGCCACCACACTCACTACCATTCTTGACATGGAAGTACTCATAATGCTCGGTGGCTGGGCTCTCGTTGTACTGGTAGTAGGTGAGAGCTTTGGGACAGCAAGCTGATCTCCTAGGCATGGTGCTCCTTTTAGCTTATCAATTGATTTGGGAATCCCTTCGAATTGCCACTGCCCCCTCTGTGCGCTGGCTTATATACCACCAGGTGAAGAGGGACGACGAATGCCGGAGAATACCTGATAGGCGGAGTCAAGGTCAACAAAACGCATTGGTCTAGGTAAATCTCGTGGCGGGTGAACGAAATGACAAAAAAATGAGGTAAATTTTTTTAAGAAACTACCAAAATATTGCAGATTTAAAGTTATATATCGAAGTAGAATTCGGAAGCTAAAAGCATATAAAAAGTCATTTCTAATTGAAATTATCTCAGCTGAATTTAGTACTGCTTTTTCCCTAAAATCCTTCTACTAACATTTGCCATTCCTCTTGCTCATGTTTTTTTGACTTGTTCAGTGCAACGTAGAGGTGTTAAAACATTCACCCAAGCGTAGTTAACCCCAGCTAAATACACTTTAGGAACGATGCTTTATAAAGCAAAAAGGAACCCCCGCGTTACGTGTTAACTGTAAATGCTGTACATAAAGGTCTAGCCATTTGCCCCCCCCCCCCTCTATCTGATCTTCAATCTGTTGAACATATCATTAACCAGGATAGGATAATAGGTCATTGTATAAGGTATAACAACAAATTATTTTCTATCATTTTTCGTAAACCGACATCAGATTTGCTCCTCCGTGTAATATCAATTCTTGCAATACTTGAACAATTAGCAATTACGTCAGAAATTAAAACAGGTTGCAAGTAACTAAACAGGTTTGATCTCATTTTTTATTAATGACAACCTAATGATCATCACGCATTTGATGTTATGAAGAGCCCGACCGAAGATTTACTGACCATTTTAAAGATTATATCAAAATATCCATAAAAACGTTACACTTCAACTCTATTGCGTTGGATGTTCGGCAAAATTAGCGGTATTTTTTGGCTTTTTGTTCGTAAACTTGGTTATTTACGGCAATAATTGCGCGCTCAGCTAAGCACTGCCATTTTTCGCTAATTAAAAGCTGTAATTTTATAAAACAACTTTTAACTAGGTGTGCAATTTGGTAACAAAATACATTTTTGCTACTTTGAATTATGCGTACATACGATAATTCATTTTACATCTGTATAGCATTGAACGCTAAACTATATGCAGGTATATGCAGAGTTGATTAAATATAGTGCTTAAAACAAGCAACCTAAAATATAAAATAGTACGTGGTCTACTTTTTACTCTACTTAATTAAAAAAGTATTTGCAGGAACCATGACAACGAAACTTTATGTGGCACACCAAAGTTAAATTATTTAGTGGTGGCACAAAAACAAATCAACGTAAGGCAGAAAGTTCCTCAACATCGTACTTTAAATTGGTTACTAAATTTTAGGCTTTACAAACAGTGGCGAATATGTTAATCCACCATGTATCAGGAAGAACAAATGGGAGAGTGTAATTCGTTGAATCTGTTTATGTGCTTTAGCCTGAAAACTAGCAACACCTGTGGTCAAAATTTTCTAAAAACTTAAAATAAGTGTAAATACTGTGCTTTAATGGCCTTACCTTGCGCTTGCTTTTAAAGGTTTTTTGTCATTCAATGTGCCAAAATACCCGTAAACTTCATCTGAGAGACTGGATTTGATTGGTAAAATATAGGCCGTTTATATAACAGTTAAAACCCTAAAAAAACAGCTTTTTGAATTGCAATAGCACCGACATCTAAATTTAGTCCGAATTTTCACACCTTCCACATTTAAGTGGTCGGGAAGATCAACGATTTAATTACTTAAGGTCCTTTCGTAGAAATCTACTTATTAAAACAGCATGACAATGCATTAGTAAGTAGTAACTTTAAAAGAAAACCGCTTAGAACTACTGTAGCGTCCCGAGACTCCCTGAAGACGAAAGAAGACACAATACTCGGGCAGAATATATATATTCAGCACGGAGAAGGTGTCTGGGCTATTGGCATGGCCCAAAAGGCCAGCCCACCCAGCGAGGTACAAGGGGGCTAATTCGAAGTACAAAAAGTGGCGCCTCACCAGAACCGAGGGATAAACCACTATCGTATTACACTACACTATGTGTAACGAACTAACTGTGCATTTTTACAAAAGCGCTTTAATTAAGGGAAACGTAAAGTTTGTTCACACTTGTTTCATTATTAGTATCTTGTTCTTTTACGCCTTAACCATTATAATTAACAAAATTAAACTGACTTAGTTTATTAATTAAATACTTTTGGTAAATAGGAAAAGATAACCCACTTATAAACAAGTTTTAGTAAACCAGCTATATTTGATCAGCCCAATTTCTTCTCGTTTGTTTGTGAAAATCCCCTCAAATATCATTCTATTATTTAATCGGCTTATTTAAGTGCATATAACTTTCTAAAAATTCATTGTTTAATTCTAATTTCTGATGTGGATTTGACTACGGTGGCTCCCGAACTCGCATTAAGCCACATCAGTGTGGGCCGTCGTGGGCATCTCAGAACAGTTGTGGTGGGTGCAGCGTTTATCCCTTCCTCCTTGTTTTCCATACCCTTAAAACGGGTAGACAAGTTGGATACCGACATGGTTTATTAGGCTGCGATCCTAGAATGGAAACGAGTATTGTTGGTTTAAGCATGTTTGCGGAATGTTTCCTCTTCAGAAGTCGGTGACGTCTGACCCAGTATGAGGTAAACACTTTCTGACAGCCTTGTGCCTAAAGAGAGAGATATGCATTGCTCAACAATACCGCAAAGCAAGGGCAAAATTTATAAGGAATGCAGGAGTCACGTTGAAAAGTTGGTTTTGTTAGTTTTGGTGAAACCGATAAATGGATATAGTGCCGAGTGATGAGCAATTTTGCATGCTATTAAATGATTAGCTAACAACGCAACTTTCAAATTTGTCAAACCGTACCCATAAAATTTTGCATTATGGTCACCTTATTATTTCACCTGCTCACCGGAGGCCTTGACCCACTTATAATTAACGCAATCCGCTTGCGCTGTATTCACTTTTAAGCGCTTTCCTTCACACCAATGAAGGCTAATTTGGTTTCGCGTTGAAGTTATCAAACGTAAATCAAGTTAAGTCAAATTTAATTTGGAGTCACTTTAGCTCGGATATTTAAATCTACCTCGTTCCACACAAAATTGCAACCCTCATTTATTGTAGGAAGGGCCTATTTTTACTCCATGTTCAAATATATAATGAATTATCTTGCTCTGCAATGACAGCTCACCACAGCAACTTGGGTGCTAAATTCGAGTGACTATTATTAATTGTCGTTAAATCCAACCCTGCTTCCCAACAGTAATTCGGTAAATTTCAAGAAGAATATGTATTATTAAACAATTATTTCATGATTTTATGTGTTTCGCACATGCTATAAATAATTCTGTTTATTACGTTGTTCATTTTATTTTATTATTAAAAGCAATTCGGTTTATCACCTCTCAGTGGGAAAAACTGGGCTAGGTTACATGTTATCGTTTATTCTTCTTGCTATAACTATAATTTATGTGTTTTTTGAGATGGTGCTTTATTTAACTGTGTACGTCTGGCTGCGCGGGCAATTCATTCTCCGCAGGCTATAACTGCAATTTGAGATAAGGGCTTGGGGCTGGGCTAGTAGTCTCCCAGCCCCTCCCTACTTTAGCAATTTCCTCTTCTCCCGCACTACCTTGACTTTTTATGACTTCAGAGGGGGCGGAAACGCATGTTCACATACCAGGTCATCCTCGAATACGGTGTAAGGCCCATGAGCTCGAGGCTTTCCCGTAGGGGTAGAGGAAGCCCGAGACCTAGTAGTAGACGTACAATGTGACAGAGGAGGAGACAGCATGGTCGGTTGCGGATCACTCCGTTTTGTAGTCGGCACCGATGTTCATTCATTTCAAAGTAGCCGGGAGTTTTAAACCCAATCATGAGGTCGGCGTGAGTGGACTTAAACTCGTCCACCTATCCCATCCTGATGGCGCGTTGCCTAGCGCAGATGTGATATATCCTGCTTTTCTAGGGTCGGAGGATGTTTTACAGAAGGAACTCCTCGCAGAGACTATTAACGGAGCCACCTGAACCCCTATCTGGTCCTCAATAAATCACTCATTGCTATGCAGAGTTCGAGAAAAGTCGGTGCTAACTTGACAGCCCTTCCCTTTGTGTTCCTCTCTAGCTTTAGCCTTCCACAGGAGATGTTTTACCATGGAATACGGTCTTTAGAGGTGGCTACCTTATCGTTGCAACAGATGGGATGCACAAAATTCATCCGGTCGCTCTCTAAGATACAATCATGCAAGCGAGCTGGGCAACCTTGGGGATGGTGTTGCTCTAAAAAAATAGGTTTCATTGAAAATTAAAGTTTACATAGGTAATGTTTGTACTCAAACCCACCCCCCTTCCCGCCCCACCTCCTCTTCTCTCCCCTCTATCCTTCCAGCAAAAAATAATGGTTCAACTAAACCAAAAGGAAAAATTTACTAGCTATTAGAGATACACGCGAAAAAGGAACACACAACGAATCTTCTTCTCTCAGTTCATATCACCTTCGCTCCTCCCAGTTAACAACAATATCGTTTATACCGGCAACCTAGAAGAAAGGAAAAAAAGGCGGTAGAATTAGTGTCTCCTTCAATCTTTTTCCTGCTCTTTAGATCGAAACAAAGCGCAAAAACTCACGGGTATTGTAGTAGCACGCACCTCCGCAAGGCTTGTCGGGGTCTAGACAAATCGAGGGCGAAGAGATTAGTGTCAAGTCCGGGGATAGTGGGGGTGGGGGGGAAGGAGAGTGAAGAGGGGAAAGGGGAGAAAAACTTACAACATGGAACAGCAATGCAGCAGTAGTTGCCACAATCACATCCACAGCAGTCACCACAACAGTCGTCACAGCAGCAGTCACGACAACAATCATCACAGCAGTAGTTGGGTCCACAACCACAGCCACAACCGCCACGGCCGCATCCTCGTCTACCCATTTTGCAAGTATATCTTTTCTTTTTTCTTCTTCTTTCCCTTTTTGGTCTTTTCCTTATATGTGTGCACCTGGTGCTTTATATGCTTAGGCAAATGCGCAATTTTTGGTTACAATCTTCACATTTTATCACCTTCATAGGGTGCACAAATTGCAAGCCCCGCTGTGACGCTCCTCTGATTGGCTGGTGACTGATGAAGTTGGATCTAATTAGCGTGGAAGAATGCAGAGGATTTTGTTTGTTGTACTTTTATTTCAATCAGAATCCTTTATTAAGTGTAAATAGGTATTACTAGAAAAAGGGGTGAATAAATTCTCTTGCTTCCTCCTCCTCCCTTCACCAAATCCTATTGGCTAAGATGGTGACAAAATTTTACCCCAAAAGTGAGGACTTTGTTTCTTCTATCCTTCCATCTATCCATCCATCTTGGACCCACCCATCTCTCCATCCATCCATTTTATTCATCCACCCCTCCAATTTCGTATCCATACGTCAGTGTTGACGCCAAGTCTCTGTCCACTCGTCGACCGTTCGTCTCTTCTTATCAGAGCAACTGACCTATTTTCCCATCTACGCAAATATGAGTCAATCAAGTGACCTTATTTATCCATTCCTCCATTCAGCCGTTTTTGCGTAGTTACGATTTGGCGACTATTTCCAGTGACTGACTGGTGGAGACGAGCAAGGTGATAAACACGTGGAATTCAATCGGCTTTGACGGGTTTTTTTGGCAAAATATTTCTCCCAGAATGGCGATAGGTCTCAGGGGATTGGTTGTCATTTCACTTTCGTTGGCTTGTGATTGTTGAAGGGTGAAGTGGAGCAAGTTGAGATCCTGACAGCACCTTGACTGAAGTATGCAACGATTACAGCAGAACGGTTAGCCGGCCAGATTTCAACAAGTTCATGCAGCCTCACAGAAATTGAGCGATTTAGAATGGAAGCTTGGAGGAGGAGACTTTACCACATTTCCGGTGGTATTAACGGGCCAATTGCCCTATGCCAGCAATATTAAATTACATATCTCCACAGCATCGAGATCCACTCTACCACGCATCAGGCCACCTACCATACATTCATCCCGAATACCTCCATCCATCCATTCATGTATCTTACTAACAATCAACGTTCCACTACTCCTTGATTGTTGTTAATGAACAGAGTGGATCGGTCAAAATCTGGTCTTTTTTTGTTTTGAATTTCCAAGAAGTTTCTTTCAAAGGGGAAGTAGGCATTTCCACCATCAACCATTCTACCTACTCACCTACCAATCTTTCCATAGCCCCTTCTCTGAACCATCCATCCAACGCACCAAAATAGGATCACACCTATCTAAACCCCAGCCCATATATTCAAAATTGAATATTTGAATACTTGGCTAACAGTATGCTCCAACCATTCAACCATCCGTTCAAGTAATCATGCCTCCATCAATCCACCTCTCATTATCTCCGCCCATGCAGTAAGCATTCCAACACCCGATCTGGATCCAATCCACAATCCCAGATCCAGTCGCATTATTCATCCTGAGGTCAATTTGGCAGGCCAAATAGGTGCGTCTACGGCACTCCCCGTCTCCTCTGAAGTCGGAAGAAGCGAAGAAGTATGGTGGAAGATATAGTACTGATGTACGGAAGAGCTGAGAGCTTACTGGCATGGCCCCGGGGGCCAGACCACGGGAACTCAAGGGTCCGCCTACAAACAACCAAAGCATTGGAGCGTCCTCTTCCTGGAAAAAAAAGAAAAAGCTGTGACACATGCCAGATAAAGTAGCATAAAAAGGAGTTTGTCGCATCAACTTCACACACGGTGTTCCAACTAACGCTGGGGGAAAAAAAGGAGGAAGGAGAGAAGAGTTGCCAATCATCACTGTGTAGATTCTTTCTTAAATATTAGCACTGCCATCCAAGAAATAAAAAAAAACGAAATTTGGAAAGCTGTGAGAAAATCAGCGAAGAAGTACACTCGCCTCTCAGTGATTTCATTTAAGGCGATAAATGCACAAAGCCCGAATTCCACAAATCTGCTTTTGTGTTCTCAACGTTCCTCTATTTCTATAGAGTCGAATTTTCCCACTTTTCCAGAAAAACTTCTGTATATAACGTCATGTTTTAACTAGAATATTTAAAAGAAAATTTCCAAATTCGTCAACCTCCGCTACACCTGCTTCCAACGACATCCAATTAAAAGGCCGCCAACAAACGACCCGCCACCACCTCATGGACAATTTAAACAAGGGCAAAAAAATGATATGTTTTAAAAGAAAGTTTTAAGAATGTCTGTGAGGTCTGGTGCCTTTTAGCATTTGCTATTTGGTTTATTTGTGAAGGCAGTCACCGATTTGTTATTTAAATATTTTGCGGTTTTCGCTCTTTTATACAAAATACCATACCGTCCAAACCTTTCCTGAAGTTGCGCTAGGTGGGAAAGTTGTACAAACCTCGTCGCCATTCGCCCTTATGTGTCATTGGTGTATCTTGTCTACTTCATTGGGCCCAAAGATTTTCCCTTTTTGAGGTGGGCATTAAGGGGTTACGTACAGCATTCGCTATTTACGGAAACTCTTGAATGATTTCAGGCGCTAGAATCCATTAATCTGCGCCTTTCTACGCTGTCTACAAGTTTTCATGAGATTCATTCTGTTAGTAACGAATCGGAAGAAAGTGATGATGGTTTTTGTTCGATTAGCCAACTTTCAGGTGAGGTTTGGCACTCTCTTCAAGCTTGGGGTCACTTTCGTTTTAATATCTTTTTCTGTTAATCACGCGAGTTGGAGAAAGAAAAAAGGAGTGTGAGCTACGAGAATACTCGTTCTTCAGTATTTACCTTTCTTACGTAATACGAGGTCCTTTAATCCTTTCGGTTTGACTTTGCCTCTGTCCCTCCTCCTTCTCTTCGTAACCACCGATGGAACACTTTGATTTTTTCCTTAAGACCTAAAAATCCATATTGGTACAACAGCCGATTTATTGTCAAAGGCGGAAGGCCTGAGAGACGATAGCCATACTTGGAAGTCTAGTCATTTCTTTCCACACTAAGTGTCGATCCCAACGCTCTACGTTGTTACTTTGTTTATTTAAGTAGTTAAGACTCCTCCTGGGATTCATAAATGGGCTCATAATGGGAACTCAGACCTTGTGATGACGGCATCAGAAGGAAATTTGTGCCTCGTTTGTCTGTACTCCTGAATACCGTGGCTTTCGGAGTATTTTCATATTGGAAAAAGTGGTTCAGTTGGGAAGAATTTTCGAAGAATCTTTGGCCTTCTAGAGCCGTGGTAACATCGAAGAGTTGGCAAAAAGGTAGGTTTTGCAAAAATATTGTTAACAATTCGAGCTAATAAATGTAGCTACTTTGTACGTAATGGGGGATTGGGATACTTGTTGACGTCCCTGTCGTGGTGCCTGGCAAATGCATATTTCCACAAAGTTGATGTAGCCACCAATGAAGTTTAGGTGTGATAATTAGCTAACATTCGGGTGGTCGAGCAAACTCAGCATAACTGGCTAGAAAATGGGATCAGCATAAGCATGTATAAGGGCTTACAACGACATGACAATAAAAAATTGAAAAAGGAGACTTCTAGTTCTAATTATTTTGCCACATTAGATGTCAAAATGCAATCTCACGTCCGTCTCTCAAATTACAGGCAAAATTTCTACTTGCAAGAAGGTTTGATTTCCAAGAACTTTTCAGTTTTTATGCTCCAACCTCAATAGTGCTTTAAAGTGCCTAAAAGTGAGAATGACAGACAGGAAGAAAATGCATTACTGGCGTATGGGAGGGCCGGGGGGCTGCGGTATGACTCGGAGATGACACCGCAGAGTGAAAGTGCAAAGGCGGGGCCTTAAGTACCCTTGCAATCAAGCGCAGAGACAAGCAAGTCATCGAATCATTACAATATAATGAAGGGTAGTTTTGAATGTAACTAAAATTTTGGGATTGATCCAGGAAAAGGAACTTGCACTTGAAACGACCTGTAACTGAAAAACGAATGGAGGGACTGAAAGTACACATAACGTGATACGTAACTTTAACATGTGCATTTTCCTGACTTTTGTCTTCGGTGAGTTTTCTCAGGTAAGATCGGTTGCAAGAGCATGCACACTCAAAAAAAGCGCTGAATAGTAAAACAAAAATAACTAACACAACAAGGCTTGTTAAATTTGACGAAATTAAGGCAGCATCAAAGCAAAATGGATATGCTGTGCAAAACTTTGCATGCAAGAAATTCATTTAGATTATAAATAACTGCTGGAATGATTAAATAAAGAATGCGATATGATAGAATGGGTGGATGGATGGATACAGGATAGACCTGGAAAGGTACAATAGCAAAGACTTATTGTAGTGCCTTTCACAGACCAAGAATTAAGCAAACGACCAACGTATTACACTAAAGTATTTATGAGACACAATCGTCAAGCACGACTTTATAATAAGATGATTTAGGCCAGTGCCCATCAGAATTACACGCACCTGACATAAACCAGTATTACTCTGGACTTTATCATCAAATTGAGAAGCTATTGACAAATAATTATTTTAATTTAAAGCCATAATCATTGGTGTCTACGCAAAATTAGAAGTGCGTTAATGCTGCATCCCTAGTTTACTCTTGCAATCCATCATTGCCCAGCTCGATCTTGCATTCTTCGGCTTTCAGAAAATATCTTTACAAATTTTATTCGTCGGTGAAAAAACCAGCAAGGTTTTGTGCATTATTTTTGCTTTCATATAAAAAAAACTTTGCATCATTTCTAGCCGACACCTTAATTAAGAAACCCTGTAATGGATTGTTATTAACTCTCATAGCTTAACCCGCATATTTATATAGCCAAAAAATAAATTAAATTAGTTAATTGGCCTTCTATTTAAATGTTGTTGAACTGATACTTAATTGATAAATTTCCTCCTAATAGAAACGCTTGACTTAGGGTAGAACACAATTCCAATTACCCTTCAAGAAGCCACAAAGACTTAAATGTCTAATTTGATCACCACTTTGAAAAAGGAGTGTACGTTCTTTTTTGACGCTGGTTACTGATCCTTAAACGCCTTTCAAAGCCAGATATTGCTAACAAAATAATGATGCTTTAATGCTCATTACCTCCGTATTCTGCAACACTTTTAACTTGAGCTAAAAAATGAAGAAAGTAAAGCATTTAGTAAGTACTTAGCTGCTACCAATGCCTCTCGAACTGATAACTCAGTTCGTAAAATACACCTTTTCAATGAACCTATTAATTGTAAATTACTTCACGTTTCCCCACTCTTAACGTTTAAAAATAGTAACAACTATAACGAAATTTAAAAAAAGGTCTTGTAAAACTGCAAAAAATGGCGTTATCATACCATGCATCTCCTGTCTGGCTCGTGTCTCCAATAAAATATTAAGGAGGTGGCTAACGGTTAGCATCGGGCAAAAATAGACGTATAACATCTACGACGAACTTTTACCTCTTATTTCAAACTATATTATCTGATTTTGCGCTAGACGAAATGGAATACCTGATATTGCTCAAGTAACCCATATTATGATCCCAATTTAAATAATCGCCTAGGCCGCCAAGGTCAGTTATTGCTGTTAGATGACGTGAGCTTAATTTTATTTGAATATCATAATATTAGACAATCTTATCAATGCAGCAATAATTTCGTTGTACGTGTCATTTAAACTTTTTTAGAATGCATAATTTTTGTTTTTGCCCCCTAATTTTGACAGGAGTGTTGTAGCCTTAGAGCAACTAATTGTACATGCTAAAATGGGTAAGACTTACGTAAAACACTTTAGTTTGGCAATCAAATTTTTGATTATGAAACCACTAACTAAAATGTACTTTTTGAGGCCAATTTTGCTGGCTTTAATTTCACGTTAATATAGTCTCTATAAAATTATTATTTGAGCTCAATTAAACCACCAAATCATACGTTGTTATGTTCCTTCACTCATAAAAAAGTATTTACTTAAAGATGCAGATGGTAAACTTGATTTATTGCTAAAGTATTAAAAACGTTCTGCATAAATATCCGGCTGATTATCTATTTCTGAATGCGCTTTGCCATCTCCTTTTTTTACTTCGATCTGTAAATCGACCTATTTATTCATTTATAAAAGTATTGTTTTTGCAAAAAAGTAACTTATTTTATGCAGCATGTACATTTGTAGTGATGAGCATCCGTGTTGTGAATTCCATAACTGCGTAGTACTTACATATTTGCGCAATTCCTGGCTGAATAAGGCAGACAATGCGGTACGTAACTTCTTTAGAAAATTTCCATATTTCCTTGGGTTTCCTCATCAAGTAATATTTCTCTACCTGTGGAATAAATGCTACACCGCAAGAACAAATTACCCATATAAAAGATACTTTTTCTTTATTCTGGGTCAGTAATTAATGCCCCGGAAGACAAAAAGGGTGAAGAGATGTGATTGACTCAACCACTTTTTTTCAGTGGCTTGTATTATTCGGGAGATGCTGAAAAGATGAAATCTCACAGGCATTCTCACAGCCGAGAAATCTCGGTGTGCGAGATTAAGCACTTAAAGCACTTAAGCGATAAACAAACCCATTGTGTTGCCATTGCTTATTTTGCTGATATACTGTTTTTATAATATTCCTATCCGATGAAACGAGTTCCCTTTAAAATTGGAGAAATTTTATTTGCTCAGGACATTTTAATAAACTTGTCATTTAGAATCGCTACCTGTTTGTTGGAAAAAAGGAGTTGATTTTATTTGGTATAACTGCGAAGGATGCTGAAATTAAGAAAAAGTAAGGAAGGATGGATGGGCGATGCGATGCTTAGCATGTCCACGCAACCGGGTGTGGAGGCCGCGCTAACTTGCTCTCGGTATGAACACAGGCATCACAAAGTTGGCTAAGATGAGATGACTAACGAAGATGCTCTGTCGATTTGAGGTAGTCAAACGGCGCCTGGGAGTGCAGTGCTAAAATTGATGGAATTCTGTCAGAAGATGCATCGACCTTGCTTATGCTTCTAGCATGGAAATAGTTTTTCCACTCCTTCCATCTCGGAGGTGTCACCGCCTCCTCAACTACATCAAAAAGAGGATTTTTATGAATAGAATTTTAATTTTTCGTATCCTAGAAAAATTACATTATTTCTCTTTTTTGAAAACTAAGGTAAGATTGTGACCCACATTTTATCATTTCTTAGCCGTGAGAAGCAAAATTAAGTCAAATGAAGGCGCATAAGACAGTGGAAAAAATTGTGGGAGATTTTAGTTACACTCCATATTTTCTGTGCAAAAGACGCAGTAATTTAGCACATACTTGATGGATTAAAAATCCTCTCGTTGAAACTAGTCAGTAATGTAAGATACAACCTGGAGTTTGGGAAACGTATAAGAAATGATGTAATCAAACCAAGGGGTAGGGAAACTTTGGATGGGTGAAAACAAAATATTCAAATTGATTAAGTGACAAAAGTAATAAAGTGAAGAAAAAATTAGGGAAATGAGTACATTAGGGATAAAAATACACAGGCGCTAAAAGGAATAGACGGATGGATGGATGGATGGATGGATGGATGGATGGATGGATGGATGGATGGATGGATGGATGGATGGATGGATGGATGGATGGATGGATGGATGGATGGATGGATGGATGGATGGATGGATGGATGGATGGATGGAGTGGATGGATGGATGGATGGATGGATGGATGGATGGATGGATGGATGGA